GTTTTCTGTCTTTGTAAATTTCCTCATCATCCTAGATGGAATGGTTTTTATAGCTGCTCCATTATCGACAAGCACTTTTACCACAGGTATGTCGTTAACTAGAGCTTTAACGTACAATGGCCTCAAATGTTTAGTTAACTTCATGGCTGGCTGTTTAAAAATAACCTTTTCGGTAGCATCTATTTCCACTTCCTGCTTGTCCTCTATTGAGTTACCCTTTTGTGATAAGTCAACGTGCAACATATCGCACTGAGCCTTTATCTCCTGAATTTCCTTTTTACTATTTTCTAATACTTCTTCTTCAGTTACCCAACCTGTGGGATGAGGCATTATTCTTGGAGGTGATCCATACTTTTCAGAGCGAGGCACTCTCTTCTTCCTTTTGGGCGTCCCGTACAACACGTAATTATCAAAAGAACGCCCAGATGGTTCTCCGAATAAGTCTACTTCACGAACTCCCTCTCGATGTAGTTGCTTCAATAGAGTATTGTACGATACTCCTCTTCTTCTCCTTTCTGCTTCTAGATCGATTTTCTCTTCGATGTCTATCATACCATCATCTTCTTCACCATTCTAGGCCTCTCTAGAAGTTTGGCCTTCTTCATATTCCAGCATGCATGCTTCCTCTTCGTTATCCTCATTTTCTTCTTCTCCCTTCTCTTTATTCTTAAACTCATTGGCCAGTAAATAGTTATTAGTCACGACAGGAGGTAACGTACCAAACTGAATAGTAAGGGGCTGATCTGAATTTTCTCCATCCCTTCTGTCTCGCTCAAACTTCGACCTCCCAGAAGAAGTCTCTGGCAATTCTTCCATAGGTTCTCCTGTACCAATCTCTTCACTGTCTTTGAGAACATTTTGATTGGCTGCCTCGAGTAGTCTAGGTACCTTAGGACGTAACATTCCCTGTTGTTGCCTCATCATTCGCCCATAGTTCCGTTGAAAATGCCTTTGTTAGGTTCTAGTCATCTTGTTGAAAGGTATCGCCCTTCCAGCCTTATACTGGAACGAATGTCATACATTTGGTTGGCAAGATTGCGGTCTGAATATTCTTCCATTATTTATTGGCCTGAACTGTCTTTCAAAAGGCGGTCCCTTATAGAACGATGTACCTCGCCATCTACCAGGCTGAGCGTTTGGGAAAAAACTAGAGCGATGGTGATGCTGCCATATCCCTAGTTTCTCTGCATTTGCACTCACTTTTTTTTTTGCATCTTGCACATAGGACGTCTTCGTCCTTTTTGAGCTCCTTCCCTTTGATACATTCAAAGACACTTGGATGTGGTCCAAGGTCTTCTTCTCCATCATCTATAACCAACTTGAATTTTGGCAACTTGTTTTTGAAACCAGACGTCACCATGTTCACTCCAAGTGGCTGTGGAAAAGGATTTTCATCCACTGCCATCTTCCTCTTATCTTCGAACGTAATTCGTCCTGATTCAATGGCATCCTGTAACACATGGCGAAAAGCCACACAGTTGTTAGTCAGATGTGACCATGCATTATGCCACTTACAATATTTATTACCCTTAACTTGTTCAGGGCTTGGAAATTTATGCTTATCGCTCAGCTTTATCTGCTTATCCTTATATAATTTATCAAATATAAGGTCAGCTTTGGTTACATCGAACGAGAACATTCTAGCCTTTATGTTTTCATCTTTTATAGGCTCATCCTTGCCCGACGGTCTAGGCTTAGCCATTATAGGACAAGTATATGTGTCTCCTTTAACTAATTCGGCCAAACACATTTCGATTTGATCGTAATACTCGTCATTAATGGTATGAACATCAAAATTTGGGTCTCTATAATAAGTCCCCCTGCTAGAATTTTTCATTTGTTCTTCTTCTCTTATTAATCGTTCATATCTAATCACGTTCGCGCTCAATTGGAAAAGATCAAGAAATTCCTTGTCTTGAAACTTCTTCTTCAAATCAAAGTTTAGACAACCTTGAGCGATTTTGACAAACTCCTTTTCGGGCAAATGTACAAAATATTTACTTCTTGCTGTCTTGAACCTTTGAAGGAAACCTTCTGCCCATTCGTTTGGCATTTGACGTAGATTCGCCAAATTGGCCAAAGTAACTTCAGACTCTGTCTTATAAAACTGAGCGTGGAACAATTGCTCCAATTGTTGCCATGTTTGAACAGAGTTTGCTAGCAAATTGATGAACCAGGAGAAGGCTACTCCTGTTAATGAACTAGGGAGCAACCTCATTTTATGGTAATCAGTTACGTCACCACTTTGCAGTGTGAATCACCCTATGTGTTCTAGAGTAGATACCTTTCCTAAACTGGTAAACAGTGAGAATTTTGGCACTTTATACCCTCTAGGCCATAAATATGCTTGGTCTACCCAATCAGGATATGGCTTTGTGTAAGTCAGCCTAATGACAGGACATACTCCAAAAGCCATTTGGTCCTGTACGATTTCTATAATCTGATTCCTTAGCATGACGTTGGGGTCATATGGAATTCATACAGGTTGGTTGACCAGTTGATTTGCTTGAGGCCTGATGTTTGATCGTTGGTTGGCAATAAAGTTACCATGATTTGGGCCGTTGTTACCATTAGCCTGAACATTTATTCCATCATTAACACGTGGGGTATTCTGTCCATTATTTAGGACATTGTCTTTTACGTTTAAGTTACCCTCCAAGTTAGATGTACCATTGCCACCATCCTAATTTGACATTACAACATCCCCCTGGTTTGAAGTAGAGGGACCAAAAGGTGATTCTACCCCTTGATTTGGACTTAGGACTGAGGGATTATGTCCCAAAATTGTCCTAGTTTGGAAGTGATTTGCGAAAGGCACGACTGGCTGACAAATTTGGCCTACTAATTTATTCATTATTTCGTTCAAAGTATTCAGTTGTTTGGCCATGTTATCATAGTGTGCATTTCCATTCTGAGTAAGTCTTTCCATATTATGAATATTTCATAGATTTACCTGTTCAACGACATCCTATGTGAATTCTCCAAGTAATGCACGCATAGTTCGAGGACTTAACTCTATCATTGGTTCGTAACGACTATGACTGCTCTAATTCTGTCCATCTATTCGTAGAGAGCTATGTTGCTCCTCATATCGCTCGATCACAGACTTGACTCCTCCCTGACTTGCTTCCTTATCAGATTTTTGAGGCATATTATTTCACATTTTGTATCTCCAACACCAAACCCCAAGGTCCCACTGGGCGTGCCAAATTGTTTCGCGCGGGTAGTCGCTAATAATTAAAAAGGGATCAGACGATTGTGTAAGGAACAAACCTCTTGAGACAAAGTCCCAAAAAGGGGTGTTTTATTGGCGATGATTTTACAATTTGAACTAAACAGAATGCCTCTAAGGGGCGCAAGCACACGAGTACTGAAAAGAAATGTTTAAGTCTAAACTAAGGAATTGAAATTACATATTCTCTATTTGAGAGTGTTTGATTCGGGGTCTTTTGCTTTATGTCTTTTCTTCCTTTTATATTCTCTTGATGATCTCTTCATGATCAACCGCTTAGAAACTGCTTAATTGCTTTATAACTGCCCACTTTTTTTATGGTGGCCAACTTATCGTGGAACTACCGTCTCTAACTGCTGCCACTACTCTTTGTCGTTCAACCGTCTTCAACTGAACTTCTTGAATCGTGGAACGTGATAAGATTACTCAATAACTGCTTCGATAACTGCACTTTTAGATAACCATAACATCTTATGTTTGCTAAGATCCTGGGCGATTCGAAGGTTTCGGCGAGAACAGGGTCATAACTCTGGACAACTGCAAGGTACTTCATTCGCTCAGATTTTGGGTGTCTTGCAAGTTTGGGAGATGGTGTTACTGCGTTCGTGGGCTTCCACTGCATTCATTAATAGCCCTATTTGAGCATTTATCCTGAATTGCCCAGTTGAGCTTCATTCTTTGGGCCATTCGATTTGGGCTGCACTTTTAGCGTGTCAACAGGAGCATAAATAAAAGAGAAGGAAGACGAGAGAGAAAGTGAAGATACGTGAAATTGATTTAGGTTTCAAATTGCGTGGGATAGAATGGGTCTGGTGGGTGGGGGTTTTGTAGATTTATCTAATTTTATGAGAGCTGCTATAGGTAAATCCCTGTACCTACCAAATACACACAGGAAGGGCGGGAAATATTTTTTTTTTACAATATTTTATACATGGGGCCCACTCCCATGTGAGTAGTAATTCAAAAATCTGTCATTTTTTTGGTAAAAAAATTTCTGTACCTGAAGAATTTTTCTTTTATATATTATTATTATTATTATTAAATAGAATCATCACCTGATTTTTGTATAAAATACTTATAAATTTGATTTTTGAATTGGGAGGTTAAAAATCATGGGTGATTGTAATTTCCACTACACGATATCGGTAATTGATCATAGGCCCGGTGGAAATTCATTTCCCCGAATAAAAAAAAAATAAAAATAAATTTAATAGTACTAAATTGTCCCAAAAGACAAGTCTAATCCATAACATAAAGCGATAATTTTTACGTTAAAAATTGATTCCCATTTTACATCCTTCACCTTTAAATATTATTGGAAATAACTCGTAATAGTTATGTGGATTTGAGCATTCAAGGGTTGTTTAGGAAGAGAGCTTAAGTTACAGAATGCAAGACGAGATGGGTACAAGTGGATGAATTTGTTAACCTGTCTCTCGTTTTTTCTTTTTAATCATTTGAGTTTATCTATTTTACTCTTCAAAAGTGAAACAAGTTTAAAATGAAGGATTATGCTACATGTACTCACACTTTTGTACAAAAAGTTTTACTTACACTCACAATAGGGGTGGGGACCACACAGCCGACATTTTTGAATTCATGTGGGGTCCGCATTTTTTGTGAGTGTGTGTAACCCATTTTGTCAAAAGTGTGAGTTCATATATATTAATCCTAAAATGAATTCTCGGTTTAATGATATAGAATAGATTACATTTGTATCATGGGTTATAGCTTCTGAGCATAGCGACATCAATACCCTACATCAATATTTCACAAATCCTCCACGCAACAAATCCACAAAAATCAGCAAACACCATATCATATTATTCCAATACACTCCATTGCTAACATACATCCATATACGAATTCTTATTCATGCTAGATTACAAAGAACCTCAGACTTCTCGAAACCTTAAAAAGCCAAAAAGACATGTTTTCTGCAGCCATATAACATATTCCCTAATGAAAGCTCCTCAATCTATGTGACTGATATCAGATTATAGGAGAAGTATTTGCTGCACAAGGAAATGATCGACTGATCACTTGGTAAGGATGCATCTAATTGGTGATCCCTCTGCACCAACCAACCTTAAAGGTAAGCAATGCACGGTATATATTCCAGGTCGAACATTATCGAGTTTCAGGCCTTCAACGAGGATAATTTCCTGAAAATAATACATATTCTTCGTCTATATACTTCATTCCAGCAAAGGAAAAAGGATATCAGAGAAACAATACTTACCCTGCTTTTTAAGAAAACGAGATGAGAAGTAATTAGATCATCATGAGCAGCAACAGATAGGTAATCGATTCCTAGGATGATAATCAAATGAGTGAACCACGTTATAACTCTAAAACATTGCACTGAAATGTCGAGATAACACTTACCAACGAGTTTAATGTCAGTGTTATCTACAAGCCACTGCGCCCCGTCTTTCATAAATCCCACATAACTCGCGTCGAATTCCTTTTTGTACATAAGACGCCTGCTAACAAATTGCATCTGTTATCCTCGATCACCGTGGGGAAAATATTCTGGTTACTTAAACCAACCTAAAAGTATGTTGTTATTGAAATATGAACCCAACCTGGCCATTAGCTGAACTAATCCGAAGCAAAAATTAGGTTCCTTTGGTTGATCAACAAATACAGTAACATATTCGGAAACAAAAACTTACTTAAAAAGTAAGTTTAAGTTACTTTCGAACTCTCCAATCATGCTCAAACAATGAATAAAGCATTTAAAGTGTTACTTAAAAGTAAGTTTAAGCTACTTTTGATGGATTAGTAAACATACATACTGTTTAAGCAATTCCAGCACAAAGAAGCTCTAAGCAAAGTTATTCTTAATGGAAAATTACCTGTCAGTGTTTAGTGTTCTAAATAGCACTCTTTTCACTCCCTTGGGAATATTTAAGGACTCCATAACTTCAGCTGAAAGAGAATTGGAATTAGAGCCTCAGTATTTATCAAGACATGGGAAACCATAAGATTTCAAGGGTCATTTGTCAGACTTCAATTTTTGTTTCTTGTTTCTTTAAAAGCCCTTTCATTCATAAGAAGGCTACAATAACTTATCCAAACATAATAAAAACAACTTCTTAGAAGCAACTTTTAACTTTTCAAAAGACTAACGAAAACGATTTTGATTGAAATTCACAAGCAAAGCAAATAGAGATGTGTACCAGTTATATTCTTATCTCTTGGAACATCAACAAGCAACGCTGGACCTGTTCAAAAACACAAAAACAAACCTCAACTCCAATGATCAAATATATAAGAAAATTAAATTCATAAATATCGATACCGTTAAGAACTCTAAGATCAAGTGTATCCACATCATATCCTTCATCGAAGTAGTTATCATACATATGCCCTGGTGCATCAACATGAGTACCAGAGTGCACAGGTAATTTCATTTCCGAGAAATTATAGTCCGAGCCATTCTTCATGCTCTCCAACAGCGTTAGAAACCGACCGACGCCCTCGGTAGAACTCCCCACAGGTGTATTGGGAGTGAACCTGTGTGTGATGTCAATTATTTCTCCGTTATCATAAACTTCCCTTCTCGAAGGACTCGAGATCGTATCACCAATTCCGACACAAGTCCCCGATTCATCGCCATAACCAGAAGGGTAAGCATCACTGGATAAAGCCGCAGATCGTAAAGAAATTACCAGCAACTCGGCAAAAATTATTAAAATATGCACAGACCTCATTCTTCCTCCCAATGGGTGGAAAAAAAGAAAGAAAGAAAAGAAAAAAAATTAAATTGCCTAGAACAAAATATCAGATTATACTTATCTGTTGTTACTAAGAGACATTGACTTAATTGTGGTCAGTGTTTAAGAGCATCGGCATCAAAGTTACACGTTTCTATAGGTAGGAATATTTTGTCCAGGTGGCAATGTTTTATTCGATATTAAATTTCTGTTTTTTCTTTCTTGTCGGAACTCCGAAATTATTGAACTCCGTATCAAACATAAAAAGGATACGATGCTTCTAGAATGATTTGGGTTATGGGTGACAACTGACACTGGATCGGGTTTGGTCGGCTCAATCCTTTGATGCCCAAGCTGGGTTCGGGTTCACGAGTTAGACTCGGCTCAGCCATTGGTTCATGAGTCGGGTTTAACTGTTCATGAGCCCATGACTCAGCTCATTGTTTCTGAGGAAAAAAATTAAGAAAACCTGTCAATCCACAGCTCAAAACGAGCAGAATCATGAAATAAATAGTATTTGACTCATCTCAAAATGAATCCGAGTTGTTCATGGATCGAATCCAGATGAGTCGTGCTGTAAGCAACTCAATCCATTTAGGGTTCGGCTACATATACACAAGGGTGTACACTCCAGTGTACACGCCCGGATACAAATGTCTTTTTCCATCCATTTATCACCTCTAATTTGGGTAGGACAAGTTCTCAGTACTAGTGTCGGATAAAAGTCAAATACCATATAATATGATTCTCCAAACCCTCACTCTCAAAAGTTAATTTACGTCATTAACCCATGAAGTTTAGACTTTTTATAGTTTGATGATTCTCATTCGTTTTTTAATTTTTTTTTTATCGACCACTTGGGCCTCCTATGTACAATGGAGGTCGCCAACCTAGACAATGGTCCTTCTTGATCGTCCATTGACCTTAAGTTGTTTAGTTTTTAATATGAAAGTAAACAATACTCAAGATTTAATCCTGAATTCATATGTAAATTCTCGTAGAATAAAGTTTCACGTGATCTCTCTTACATTATCCCAATTTTACAAAGAAGTAAAATAGTTAGAATTATTGCCTGTGAAATGAAAAAGATTTTAGATCCAACAATTAAGAGTTAATAACCTAAATGGTGAACTTTGGAAAAAAGTTTTCACCGGGTCACTGAATTTTAAAAATTACCCAAGTTATCGTTGAATTTTACAAAAGGTTTCCACGGGGTCATTGAACTTTAAAAATTATCTCATTCATCATCGAGCTTTGCAAAAACTCAGTGACCCATGGGAAAGTTTTTGCAAAGTTCGGTGACCTCGTGGAAATCTCTTGACAAGTTCAATGATGAATGGAGTGATTCTTGAAGTTTAGTGATCTCTTGTAAACCTTTTGCAAAGTTCAGTAACAGCTTAGGTGATTTTTAAAATTCAATGATCCAATGAAAACTTTTTGCAAAGTTCAGTGACCATTTGGATTACTAACCCCAATTAAGGGCATGTGGCCTACCGAAATATTTGGCATTGATGCATCTATGGATGAAACAAACTTAAAACCATGAAAATATCTTCGGTACGACTTGATGGTGACTATTCTTTAGTGATCCAATTGTGCATTTTGTTCTCTCTCTATAGGCCTTTTAGGCTTATTTGCTAAGCCTATTTATACAAATTTATAATAGAGGATCAACCACTAAACCTCGACTATTTCGCAAATGAAATAACTAGGGTACTTATAATAATTGAAATTAAAAACGAACTCAAATGTCAGTTCCAATTTGGATTTGATTCTACAATACATATTGATAATAACAATATTGCATACCCGAGGACCTTTTTCTTCGAGGACTCCCGAGCAAGCTCCGTCTCACTCTTCTGCCAAAATGTTCTCGAGATAATATAGTCCTCGAGGATTATATCTCGAGGACTGTTCTTATACTAATATGAAAACTCACCCCCTACCGTCCTCGAGAATATGTCCTCGGGTCATTGCTCATCAACATATCTTTGAGATGCATATGCCCAGCGAACAGACGCCTAAACGCCTAAGGACTTTATATCAACTCTAACATCACTAGTCAAACAGTTCCATTACGAGTAGGACATTCCTCACAAACAACTCTATCGGATAAGAACATCCACCCGATTCCAATTCTATCAAGGATATACTACCTACCCCTACAAATATCAACCTTGGACATTATTCAGGTACGTTTTCATTATTCTCTAGTTTATAGCCTCACACGTATAATTTTCTTTCTGACTTAAGTATTGGAGGGATGATGAGAACATATCTCGTTACCTTTATTTCAGGTACCGAAAGATAACAATCGCGCTCATCCAGGGTCCTCAAGCTCGAAAAATCAACTTGTATGATTTTTGTTAGCATCATTGGGGCTGTTTGTGGGAAGCGCTACCAAAAGCATGGTTAATACGTGATTAGATCTTTCTCCCGCAAGTTCATCCACTCCCATCACTTATCCTACTAAAGATCAACTGGCTCATCAAGAAGAGTCGTCAGAAGTGCTCGCACCCCAACAAGCAGTCGTCACAACTAACGCCTTCGAAGAGCTACGTCAGTAGGTTGCCACGCTAACATAGCTGTTAAGTTAAAGAAATTCGCATCCGTCACCAGTACAGGCAGAGCATGGTGGTTTTATGGCCGATGCTCGAGCCCGACCACCAAACCCCGCAACTGGCAGAGTAGGGACCTCGGGTCTTCGTAATATGGCCTCGGTCTCAAGATCGGTTGCTATGGATTCAAGTGAGATTGCCCGGATCATTCAAGAAGGAATTACAACTGGCCTGCAACGAAATGCTCGGGGGCCAGCAGATTTTACCCCTAACACTCCATTCACGCAGGAGATATTGTCATATTCCTTGCCCAACAGATTCAAATATCGTTGCATTAAAGAGTATGATGAGACGACCGACCCAATCAACCATCTCAATCTATATACTGATGTCATGAATTTGCAAGTTGTGCCGGATCAGGTTATGTGCAAAGCCTTCCCACAAACGCTGACTAATGCTGCTAGAGATTGGTTCTCGATATTGGAGCCCAACTCCATAGCATCATTCTCAGATTTGTCTAATAAGTTCTCAGCCTTCTTTGCAAGTAGCAAGCGAATAAGAAAAACTGCGGCCTCTCTCATGCAACTTCGCCAGTGACCAAATGAAATACTACGAGAATTTATGACGAGGTTTAATAAAGAAAGGCTTCAAATACCCGACATGCACATCACGACGACTGTCTCCGCCCTCACTTAGGCCATAAGATGTGAAGCCTTCAAGATATCCTTATCAAAGACCCCACCGCAGAAAGTGACCATGCTCCTTACCCGAGCTAAAAAATACATTAATATGGAAAAAACGCTGAATCGAAAGAGATCTGGTCCTTATGAAAAGGTCAAGAACAAGAAGCAACATGATCCTGTTTCTCGACCAGAGTATGCTCGAGAAAATTGCAAGAATGAAGGTCCACCAGGGCCTCTCACCCGGTTGCCTCCAAGGCAAATATCTTAATGGAGATCAAAGATATGGAAGAGTTGAAGTGGCCTTCAAGAATCAAGTCGCCCCTGACACAAGAGATAGGAGCAAGTATTGTGAATTTCACCGAGATCATGAGCATACCACGAAGGATTGTCAAGCCTTGCATCTCTTAAGGAATTACATTAGTCATGATAAACGCCCGAGGAATGACCGTGACAATCGAAAAGAGCCTGGAGTAGGAAGCAGTGCTCAACCAACTGCCGGGACAATTAATATTATCATTGGAGGCATAGCATCTAGAGGAGGCACAAACACTGGGCGAAAGCAATATACCCGCCAACATGCTCATACCTCAAGGGAATCCCGTGATAAACTCAAGGACATTACCTTTGGGGCAAAGGATTTGGAAATAGTATCATATCCTCATGACGATGCCTTGGTCGTCTCTACAATTGTGGCTAACTTCAAAGTAAAGAGGATTCTGATTGATAATAGGAGTGCAACAAATATACTCTCACAGGAGGCTTTCGCTAAAATGGGGATCTCTCCCAAATAGCTCAAAGCAGTTAAAACTCTCCTACATGGATTTGGTGGTGGAGTCATTATTTCGAAAGGAATCGTCGAGCTTCCGCTTATTTTGGGTTCTGACAGTGCACAAGTGACGGAGATCACGCTCTTTAAAGTGGTTAACACTTCTATGGCTTAGAACATCATTCTGGAAAGACCCTTACTGAACAAAATCCAAGCCATTGTATCAACTTTCCACCTGGCCATGAAGTTCCCAATAGGTCATGGCATCGGAGTAGTTCGAGGAGACCAAACAGCTGCTAGACAGTGCTATGTTACTAGCATTCGAGGAATGAGTACAGACGTCATGCAACTTTCAGACCTCGAGCTTGAGCCAAGGGGTAGATTTGCTCCGATTGAGGAATTGGAAGTGGTAGAGCTCGAGCATTGAAAAATGGCAACTATTGGTCGGGATCTCAAGGCCAGCCTCCGGGAGGAACTCATCAATTGTCTGTCCCGCAACATCGATGTTTTTGCATGGAAGGTCGAGGATATGCTAGGGATAGACCCTGAAATTGCAGTCCATAGACTCAACATAAGCCCAGGGGCCAAACCTGTTAAGCAAAGGAAGAGGCAGTTTGCGCCAGAAAGACGTGTGGTCATTCAAGAAGAGGTCGACAAACTGGTAGTTCATAAGGAAAGTCCAATACCCCGATTGGCTCGCTAATGTTGTTCTTGTGAAGAAGGCCAGTGGTAAATGGAAGGTCTACATCGACTTTACATATCTCAATAAGACATGCCCTAAAGACAGCTACCCGCTCTCCAGGATAGACAATCTTGTGGATAGCACCTCCGGACATAAGTTGTACAGTTTCTTAGATGCATTCTCAGGGTATTATCAAATCCTCATGGCCGATGAAGACCAAGAGAAGACTTCATTTATGGTTGATTCAGCCTTATACTGCTATAGGGTGATGCTGTTTGGGTTGAAAAATGCTTGGACAACATATCAGAGGCTCATCAACAAAGTTTTCGCTGATTTGATAGGGAAGAACATCGAGGCCTATGTTGATGACATGGTGGTGAAAAGCAAGAACGTAGAGCAGCACATATCCAATCTGGAGGAGGTGTTCACCACCCTACGAAAA